AGAAGAAGAAGAAGAAGAAGAAGAAGAAGAAGAAGAAGAAGAAGAAGAAGAAGAAGAAGAAGAAGAAGAAGAAGAAGAAGAAGAAGAAGAAGAAGAAGAAGAAGAAGAAGAAGAAGAAAGGATAAAATCCTGGCCCATCCCTGGCTTCATTGCAACTTTGCTTTTTTTTCTTTTTTTGCCAGGTAGATAAGCCATGAAAGGTCTACGTCCCTGGCTACACACAACTCCAGAAGGCAACCGAACCCCTCAGCTCCCCTTGTGGTCATCAGGAGTTTTGCGTCTAAATCCAGTATACCGAGTCAAGGATTAAACTGATAACAAATAATAGATAATCAGAGTTGGAAGGGACCTTGTAGGTCACCTAGTCCAACCCCCTGCCCAAGCAGGAGACCCTACACCTTCCTGGTTATTTCAGAGTTTCTCGAAGCAACCAGGCCTCGAGAAACTAAGGAACAAGAGAGGAACCTGACTTCGTTGGAATCGCGGCCGGCCTGCTTAACAAGGAAAAGGTCAGAAACCCTGGAAACCCTCGAAAGGGAGTGTCATAAAAAGGAGGAAAGGGGGGGAAAAACCCCCATCATATTTACTAGATTAGATCAGGCCTGCCGTCGCTAGCAACTCCGCACCCAAAAATAGCCTTTTGCTCATCCACAGCCTGCTAAAAATAGCCCAAAAGGGAGAGCATTATATTTTTATTTGATTAATACCCAGGCTGCTTCTCCGGAAGATGCCAAGAATCGAGCCAACGCCTCTTCTCGGAAGCAGGAGAAGCCCAGCTGAGCTTTTCCGACAGGAAGAGAGCCCGCCTTGGCGAGAGGCCCCCAGAAAAATGGGCTTCCCTCCCCCCGAAACTATAAAGTCGCTGAAATTAGGGAACTGCCCCAGAAACGTCTCCTTTTGAGGAGATGCGTGATGGTGGCAATTGGGACTTGTCTCCAGATGCTGTGGATGCTCCGTCACTGGAGGTTTTTAAAGAAGAGATTAGACAACGATTTGTCTGAAATGCTTAAGCAGGAGGTTGGATTAGAACACCTTCAAGGTCCCTTCTAACTCTGTTATTCTCCACGCATGTGCCAAGATGCTACACCAGAGTCAACCCTTGGTCGACATCTGGTCAACACCCTTGGCCAACCTCGGTCCGGCACTGAAGACCAGTCCCAGTCAAAGATTCAGCTAAACTGCTTTATTGCTAAAAGCCAACGTGCAGGAATCTTCTCAACTAACAGTAGATACATGCTTGGGATTAGATAGGAGTCGACGGCACTCAAGGTGGCTAGATTTATAGTTCACTTGTGGATCCTTAGGCCGGTTGCTCTTTTCACTCCACCTGCAGCTTCTGTCACTCCTTCTCCTACACCAGTGTTGGCAAACCTTTTCGGCGCCCAGTGCCAAAATGGGAGTCTGTGTGCGTGAGCATCCAGAAAGGGGGAAGAGCAGCTCTCTGGTACACATGCGTGGTGGCCACCTAGTCTTCCGGTTTCTGGTGTGCATGCATGCATGAAGACCAGCTGGCCGGCATGCATGCATGCACTGGAAACCAGAAACTCAGCTTCCCAGTGCACGCATGCACGCTGGGGAGCTGCTCTTCCGGTTTCTGGAGCTCCCATGTGTGCAAAGACCAGCTGGCTGGTGCGCGTGCATGTGACGGAACCCGGAAGAGTCACGGGCGATGGCTGGCATGTCCAGAGAGATGGCTCTGCATCCCACTGGCATCGGTTCACCATCACGGTCCTACACCACGCTTCTTCTGTAGATCTTCTAACCCTCCTCGGAAGAACAATGATGTCCCTCCAAGCGGGAGCTACTCCTCGCGCTCTTTGAAGCTGAAGTTCGCTCCGTACCAGCGACACAACTAGACATGGCCGCTCCTGCTTCCTGGTCTCTTCCGAAACGAGCTTTTGCAAATGAAAGGAGGGGACAAGACGGTTTCTCTCTCTCTCTCTCTAAGCTTGACTCTGCCCAAAGAGCCCAGCTTGGAGGATAGACAGGAAACCTCATTGTTTCTAAAAAGGCTGCAGCTGAAAGAAACACAGGATGTATGGAGTCCTGGAGAACAATAGCCAGTCCCATCAGAAAACAACCCAGCAGTTCTCTCCAGGCTCGGATTGTAGAAACGGGGATCCCCGTATCCTCCCCAGAGAAAGACCATGAGATGGTTGCTGAGGCCCCCTTGGTGGTCACCAGGAGTTCTTCTCTTTCTGCCCTGAATTCCCCCAGCGCTTTGGTGACTCATTTCCCCCTTCCTGTTCACCCCAAAAGGGGCCCGTAAAATGCAAAACTTTCTCCAAGGGGCTGGGTTTAGGGCCTCCTAGCAAGAAGCCAAAACCGGTTGAGTCCCGGGATAGAAGTTTCCCCGCCTTTCCTGCCGGTGGCCCTTGGCAGAAACCCCTCTGGAAAACTGGCCTCAGAGAGCACAAGTTTGCCCTTTCGGCATCAAGTACAACACCCACACACACCCACACACACACAAAAATACGTAACATCTCCTAACATCTCCTCCCGCTGACCTTTGCACCAACAGCAATCTGATTTTAAGGAACTGCCATAAACACCGGTGAGACAATTAACCCTTGTCTTCCACTCAGAACTTTGCGGGTGGCACCCCAAGGTTGGTCTTCTTGGGGAAAAAATGGAGCCGGAAACCTCCTATTCTAGCTAGCTCCTATTTCCTCCTGCTCGCTAACCTGGTTTGTTTTTGCTTGTTTTTAAACCTTGGTTATTTCTCCTCCGTCTGCAGTCCTCCAATCAGTGGTGGGATTCAATAGTGTTTACTACTGGTTCT